TATTTAATCATATCGTAAAGAAATTTCGAATGTTCTACAAGTAATGAGAGTGTCCGCATTAAATAAAATTATTTAGAGACTCGCAACGACACTTGAATTTCGTATGACAAACAGCGGTGCGACACGGCGATTTGTACCGATTTGCGACAAAATATGAGGTGATGTACCTGCCTGAGCGGCCGCACTGCTTCGCGGCGTTCGTGCGAAAGAGCGCGACATGTTCAAGCGAAGTATTGCAAAGGAGACACCACACGACATAAACAAAACAGTTTGATTTTGTCGTTCAACAATACGAGTGCGGCGTCAGTGTGGCCGCCACTGATCGCCTAACCTGCTTGGTGCAGCCACTCATTAAGCGACGTCGCGGCGTTTCGCTGGCTTCTCGCTTTTACAATGCGGCCACCAATTTTTTCGCATCGTCCCCGCGTCGCTGTCGCCGTACCAGTGCGGCCCCGGCCTTAGTACTCTCCTTCGCGAAATCCCACTCGTATTGTAAGGACCCAGATCAAAAGTAATTATATTATATTTCGTAAAGTTATCTTTTTTTTTCATAAATGCTTCATGATATAAGTATCATGAAGCATTTAATGAAAAAAAAAGTCTTGTATAAAAAAAAATCGAGTATCGATAATCGCTATCAAAATACATCTTCCGACACCAAAATAGCTGTCATTCCGCCATTTTAGACTTTTGACCAATCACAATCAGAATCACAAAAATATGCTATTTTCTTTAAAAATATTCGGTATTAAGATACCGTAAAGTTATAAGATACCGTAAGATACCGTAATGAATTTCTATGATGTGCGAATAAAATATTAATTTTTATATTTTAAATAGAGTTTAGATAAAATTATAAAGCAACAAATCGTTTTTATTTGATTTGTACATTTAGCTAGAAGTTACTAAATACCACTTTCTTAAATTGCAAATTTGAATGACAATTTCATAAGTACGGTATTTTATTTTTTACAACTTTTCAACGAAGAATTTGACAGACTCGTTATACTTACGTGTGGTTTTAATAACCTAAAACAAACAGGTTGAAATACTTACTTCATTTAAATTGTAAAGACCCAATCTCAGTATCAAATTTTAGATTTTTTATAACAATAAGGTATCTTATTGGTATACATTACATATAAGAAGTTATAGGCCATTCAAAATATAGATTAAGAAAATGTAAGTTTTGCACAATCTTCTAGATTAGGTTCTAATAAAAATGTTTATAAATTTTAATGTAAAGTGTATTGCAGTAGTTTGATGTCGATATCGAAAAAAATAAAGCAGCGTGCGAACCGCACTACGGGAATAATGAGTCGTTTAGAAATTAAAAAATCGCGCGAATGCTTAAATGTTATTTCGATGCCTCACTTTCTCAAACTCGTATCTCATAAAGAGTGACTACTCAGGAGATGGCAAAACTTTCTATTTATTTTCAATGGTGTTAATTTGGATGTATTACTTAAGAATAGGTAAAAGCCAGTGTGTAAATATAAAGGAAATGTGATGTCAAATCAGCATGCAAAATTTGTATTTACAATCTGTTTTTTGCTTTTCAGTAACTTTGTATTTTAAGATACGAGTTTGAGAAAGTAAGACGACGATTTATGTCATTCGGAAAAAAAACGCGGGTATCTTCCTTAGACTATGGAAACCTTAGAGGATGGAAAGATGGAAACCAAAAGACATGTTATATTGACATAGGTATATAAATCAGACGTTATATTTATATGATGCATTTAGACGTTGAAAACATGAAAAACATTTTATTGTCTTTGTTTAACCATTGCGTGCCTTCGTAAGCCAAAAGAGATAGCACTACATCGATTTATGTCAAACACGGGAATCGAAAAACCCTTAGAGGATGGAAAAAAAATAAAAGGAAATACCTAAATACCAAACGTCATCTTAAAAGTAAACTGTCCTTATTTTTGTAGTACCCTTTGATAACCGTTTCCGGTTGACAAAAGGAAGTACATCGAACTTCAAAACTAATGTTTGACCAAATGTTACATTGAATTATTCAATTGTAATGAAATGGACAAAAATATTGACAGTGATAACAATTAAGTATTGATAAAAATGCGTCACTGCAGCAGTAAGGGGTGCGGCAGTAGAAAAAGCGGAAATCAATCGAATATTACATTAAACCGGCATGTGTTGTTTTTCTGCCTATAAATCATACAATAGCCCAAATATCTCATGTAATTAGACTCATTTACTTAAGTAGTTTATTCATAAGTCTTGCCGAATTTTGCTTTGGTTACTTTACTTTGGTTACAAATATGTACCTCGGGTAAGTTTTTCATTTTTTTAACACGGGCGACGAGCCCCCCGGTGTTACTGGAGGAACAGTGCCTTCAGTGGTCTTAAAATATAGAAATATCTTCAATTGAAGCGAGTGCAGTAGATATAAGATGGTGCCCGCAGTAAGTTTAGCGCAAAAATAGGAAATGCATTTCTGCCGTCCACTAACTAAAACGGAGCTAAGTGACAAATGATCAAATGTTGGTTTTAAATAGTGTATGATAGAGCACAAAATTCTATTTTAAAAACAGTTAAAACTAGTTAACGTGTTTGACTTATCGGAACTTAGCCTAACGATGTATAGCTATATCATTAAACAATTTCAATATTGTGAAACTGGGTCATGGTTTTTTATGATATCTAAAAAAAATATTTTGTCACTTAGCCGCGTTTTAGCGGACGGCAGATTAAAGCACCCCGTAGACATTCTGAGAAAAACAAGAAAGATAGTAAGGGTAACTTTGTTGAAAGTTCTCATGATGTGATACATAGTAATTATTATACTATGTATCACATCTATTATTAAGTTTACCGAAGTTGTTTGGTCTCCATGTCAGGATAAGTTAATATATCATTTCGTGACACAATATACTTACAATAATTTAAAGATCCCTCCGGACGCCATGCGCCATCTCCATGTAGTTTACATACGTGGGCGGTATTTTTGTAAAGGATTTTTTTTTAGAAACCTCTAAAGAATAAAAGGCAATCAAATTAGGGATTTGTCTTTTAAACTTTCGCACATTGTATAATACATTTTATGAACCAATAAAGTATTTAATTGCTTTCTAAATAGAATAAATTTTTACTTGAATTTAAGTACTTTAGATAAATAGTTGTAAACTTTTGGTGCCATTACAGAAATACTTTTAAGCATAAAAGAGAACCTTTGAAACAAAGTTGGAATAGTCTCGACTTTAGAGCGCGCCAAGATCATGTGAATAAGTGTGGCTGTATTCGAACGTGAAGATCATGGCAGTTTCGTAGATGTAAAGTTTGTTCTTTTCAGTCGTCAAATTGCCCTGAAAAAGTTTTTGTGTCTTGAAAATTATGTTCTCATTACTTGCATTGCTAGAATACATAGTATTTTAAAATAGAAGTAACTTGCTATACCTACTTAAAGAACTATCTACGCCAATGTATAGGTACATACAATATGTATGTTGGTATAAGTGTTGAGGTTAGGGAAATCTCTAAATTATGCTTTCCAGTTATTTTGACATCAACCTATATAAATAGGAACTTTGTTATAATCATGTCTCCCTTCATAATTTACGTTTGCGTTAGTATGGTTACTTTTGTCATTACAAAATTCAGAAGTTTCATTTTTCGTTAGTGATTTTTAAATTTTGCTCTTGAAGCCACTCTAGTAAAAATTTAAGCTGTTAATTATTTAAAATATATATGTATGTAATGTTACAATCGTCAGCTTAGGTCCGAAGATACTACCTTATGGGACTCCATTGCGAAACCTGAAACCTCTTTGTTCTTCATAAAAAAATGTGTCATCCTTAATAAATGATGATTGATGAATGATGACACGTGTATATTTGAAAAATCTCAATAGTTCAGACAATTGAACTGGACAACTGGGAATAGAGGTGTATTTGTTCTTTACCGTTATTAAAAGTAGAAGTCATTACTATCCTTGAGGAGTTAGGTGCTTTGTTAGTTAAGTAGGTATTTACTGTTTTAGAATATATTAATGTTTCATCATTAATTGTTGCCATTAACATCGGATACGATTAATTAATCGATATGCTGAACTAAGTTCAATCGCTGTATTATGCCGAACAATGTTATGGGTAATTTCATGAAACGCATGGAGCACCTTGGTATATCAATATGAGTTTCATTCTATTTCGCTATAAAACTTAATATCAGACCCAAAAATTAAACTGAAACCTTAGCTTAAGGACAAGTTCAATAATTATATGAAATGACTAAGCTAAAAAAAGGTGTAATACTTATATATGTTTACATTTTGGTCAAAAATATCATGATTTATTTTTGGTCCTAAAGTAGTGTGCCTTTTTTGTTTCAGGTTCTTTATGAACACGAGGGCGTCATGGGACCAAGCTTAATATATCTACTTAGTTTGGTCTTGGCTTTTGGGAAAGGAAGTAAAAGATGAGTTTGAATTCAATCTAAAAATTGTTTTCTAATCAGAAAACTATGTAAGTACTGTTAATGATCGCGTATCGGTAGGTCGGCAAGTAGGTGTATTCATCTCCATGCGCTCTCGGCTGGCCGTAGACGCAAGCTCAATTGTCGTTATAAAGACTATTATTTTGAATTGATATTCTAGTTTTTAAGACATCTCATCAACGATTGCCATTTAACAAATATCCTACAATATTACTATGCTTTATGATCACCACAGTACCTACCATGGTACTTACACCTGCTGGTAATAAAATCTACACAGTAGGTGGGTGGGGAAGTATGTCCTACATTCAGTCGTGTATAATTTCGGAAGCTATTTTAATCTATTAATTGTCTCTACTCGGAGACATTGAGTTCAAAGCTACAAGTTGTGATTATAAGAGCGGCGGCGACGACGATGGTGGCATTGAAGGATGTAAACAAAATCACATCGTCTGAAAGCTTCGCGATTCGGCGGGCAACCGAGCGCATGCGCAGCGCTAAGTCGGGTGCGGGCGGTGGCGGCGCGGGGCGGGCGGCGCCGGCGCAGGGCGGTCCGGGCGGTCTTTCAGTCCGCGCGCGCCCTCGCCATGGCACGGTGGCTGAAGGCTTTGGCGGCCGTTCTGCTGCTCGCCGCCGCCGCGACCGCGCGAAAACCCGCCGCCGCCAAACACGAACCCCAGATCGAGGAAGTCACCGCCAAACAGTTGGAGCGAGTGCTGGAAGAGAAGGACTTCGTCGCGGTGTTCTGGTGTAAGTGCGGTGTAGTGCTCACTCGGCCGCCGCCCGCCGGCCCGCGCGCGTCTCCGCTAATTTTGCGGGCTGTCGAAAGCTGGCCGTCGGCCAGGGCGGGGGCGACCGCCGTGTCGAAACGTCTGCGACGGCGCCCGTCCAAATGGGTTATCGTCGAGTTAATGATCTTCGGACGAGCTGAGCGGAAGGCTCAAGCCGCTGCCGAACCGCGGTCACGCATGATATTTTCGAGTAGCTCGTGCCGCAATTCTACAATTATGCAACCAGGCCCGGAGACAATAAAACTTGACCCGGCCGCCGACCGCTGCGGCGCGGCCTAAAATGGCGCCCAGTCTCATTTTCCACGATGCTGTTTCCCCAAGGTCGCCAGGCGCCTACGCTCGCAGCTCGGCTAAAACTGTGTAGTGTGCCGCTGAAATAGACATACCTACATTACGTGCTATTGGCATTCCAACTATTTTTGTTTGTCGCCAATTGTCATGAGATCGATGTATTCTGTTCGTTGTCATGCCAACTCTATTACATCCAGAGAATAGTGCAATTTGTGTAATGATCAGCGCAACTTTTTGGTCACGTTCGTTAGCACTCTAATAGTGTTCACGAGGGATGAATAACGCACCTCGAAAGCACTCATAGTCTTTTGAACGATGCGGTGTCTGATATAAGACCCAAAAAGTACCTGAACAATAAATTACTGTCGAAGCTCGGCCCACTGCAACATTTTGTGTTGGCTATTGGCTAAGACGGAACTGATTATTGTTGTTTGTGAGATTTAAATATTCTGTCTAGTATACATATATATAGCTAGGAATGAACACACATATATAAATACATTGGACCTCATAGTGACAAATGTTAACAATTGCAACAAAAACATAAACAAACATTATTTACCTACTTAATCTTAGCTTAAGACTGATAAGAAATCGAACTGGAATATGATAACCACCTTAGTTTAAATCTTATTACGTTGCATATCTTGCGTAGCCAATCGAAGGACGTATAGAATCTTTTTATCCAAAACAGCAACGTATTAATATAACATACCCATGTGTAAATCATTATAAAATAGCAAGTCATAAGTAGACAGCAATCCGTACTCTGTACGGACCAAATGTCATCTTACTAATGTTACTGCATGGTGGTTCGACAAACATTTTGTGAGGCGGGTCTTAATGTCAAATAACTTTCACATTGTCCGTACCCTCAATGGGCTAGTCACTTGATATAACGTTTTAAAAAGGATTTTACTGTTATAAATAGGGCCAGTAGCTATGTTTTAGAGAAAAGACATCACAGAAATGTCGGGAGGTACAACTGTTTTTTTGGAAATCTTCCAAATTAGATTGATGAAAATGAGACAAATACTCTAAGAAAATAATTATTTTAGGCCTCCCTGCAGATCCTTTACAGACCATATTTAAAAAGAAATTGTGTCCACCGATGTACTCTTTGCCAATTTTCATGTCTCGTTTAAAGAATATTAATTTAAATAATCATCTACAAAAGAGGCAAACGTACTAAATAGGTTAAAATAATTTATTCAACTAATCTAAATTTATTAAACTAATTTCAAATAGAGGCATATTGTAGGCAGGCAGGGTGGAGGCGGCTAGTGCAGTGAGGATTCCATCGCTGCACTAGGTTCCTTCGCGTTTGGATACCACTTTCCACTTAACATCAGGTGGAGTGGAGTCATTTGCCTGTCAGGTATAAAATAAAAAAAAAAATAATAAAATAAAATCAAGTTTATAGTCAGTACGTCATCATCAACCCATTTATACGTCCCATTGCTGGGCACGAGTGGAGACCCGTGCTCAGCAGAGTGAGAGGAGTCTCAGGCGAGGCTTTAGGCCAGTCCGCCACGCTGATCCAATTCGGGTTGGGGACTTCACATGTTTTCCGAGCGTTGTAAACCTGCTTTGACGTGCAGATTTTATCACGATGTTACCCTTCACTGAAAAGCTCGTGATAAATTTCAAATTAAACTTCAACCCACGGCCTCTGCTTTAGAGTCAGTAGGGACTACAGGCATTTTATGAGATCATAATAATCGTCAACCTATTAGAAGTCCCACAGCTCGGCACGTATCATCCATTAATGGTATAAATCAATGTTATAACTGGTTCGTAGGGTGCGAGTTGGGACTTCACATGTTTTCTAATGATTGTGTACGTTCAACGTACCTACAGGTTTCATCACGATGTTTTCAGATTTACCAAAAGATATTGCTAGTAAATATTTACGTATATTGTTAATTATGAAAGGAAAGTTCTAGATATTACGGATACGAACCGTCGACCTGCCAATTGAGAAGCAAATGTCCTCCCCAGTCCTCCCGCAAGGCTACCTTTACTCTATTAATGAGCTGCAATTTATCTAAAGCAATATAAAGCTTCTACTGAATTATAAACTTGCTTGTTCATTCGTTGTAGGTATGTTCGTTAATTGGTGCGCTAAGTATTAGGTATAATTATGATGACAAAATCGATATAAGGATAGACTGTACTTAGTACTTGCTGAATTTTTTCATTGCATTATTGACTAAGTGTTTATAACATAGAAAGGTAGGATTGATGTGTAGTCTCCTCTGAAATCGGCTAAGGCCTACTGACGTATTGTATAGGTATTCTCTGTTGAAAGAGTAGACCAGAAAAAACAAGTTCATCTAAGGTGATTACTTCGTTATACAATATTAAAACTAGACACCGTATTAAATCCAAGAAGTACATTCTTTTCAGCTTCATGAATCAGAACGCGAGGACACTTAAAATAACCAACCGTGCATTCTGGGACGTTGTTTACGTAATTCATGCGTTCAACAATTTTATTATACAGTGCAACATGTTAATTTAGAATGGTATAATTTAAATGTGGTCGTGGCTTAAAGTTGTGTGTTCTCTACGACTCACGCGCTATTATTATCATTCAACAGGGCAACGATCAAAAATGTTCTCGTTTATTTCATTTAAACATTTTTGATGATTTCAAATAGATTGGCACTGGATTCAGTCGATTAACTACAAAAGTGTCTTAAGTCGGTAATGAAACCTTATTTTTTAACCACATTTAGTTTGACAATGCCTACCTAGGTTAACTGGTTATGGTTTTTAAATTTTACAAATGAAATTCTTAGATTTTTACACATTGGAGATAAGAGAACTTTAGTAGCAGCCCCCGTCCTTTTCTACATAAGTTTTGATTATAGTGATCCTCTCTACCAACCCTTAGGGTATAAAAAAAGGGCACTATAAACTGTGCAAGCACAGGGACCTTCTAAAATCAGGTTTTGATCCGGTTCTGCCAGCGTACAGGACTGTCACTGACTTCGTCCCGTTCTAAAGAGGCTAGTGCCTCGGATGAGCCACCCCGGGTGCACATACAGTACCCTCCCTGTTTTCCAGATAGACCCTGGAACTGTAAGCACGCTCACTTCCCGTTGTGCATTGCACAACTAACGGTTAAGTCCCCTACCAAATCTCCTCTTGGTTTTCTATGTAAGTTTTGTTTATAGAGACCCTTTTGTTGATAGGGATATCAACCTCTTGGTTATACGGAAAGGGCACTATAACCAGTGCAAACAAGCCTGCACAGGGACATACTCAGTCAAGTCCGGACCTCAGATCAGCCCGTTTGCAAGGACTTCAAGGTTCTCAAAAGGCTAGTGCCTTGGGTGAGCTTCCCCGGGTGCACGCATGGTACCCTCCCTATTTTCCAGATAGGTACCGGAGCTGTAGGCACGCTCACTTCACATTGCGTGTTGCGCATTGCGCAACTAACGGGTCGGTAGATAGGGTTAAACTTTACTAGTAGTAGACCTCCTCGTGAAAGAGTTCGTCCAGGGAAGTATTGCCACCTTACCTATTTCTGCCACCAAGCAGTAATGTGAGCATTACTGTGTTCCGATTTTGAAGGGTAAGGGCGCTGGTGAAATTACATGCACACATGGGACTTTTCAAGTTAGGTTGACGGGCGCAATACAGTGTCTCTCAGACCTTTGTGATTTAAAACTCTGAGCGGCAATGTAACTGTTATGGACATGGGTGTCGCTTACCACAACACTAGGCGCATGACTTGTTCGTTCCGTCACTTGGTATCATAAAAAAACTAGTTTTTCGGATATAATCAAGTATATCGAGTTCTTTGGTTTCACAATTATTACATATAGGAAATGAAACAATTTTTTTCCGGATCTAAATAAATCGCGTATATTTGCTTTTTCAAAGCAATCAACGTCTTGGGGATTTTATAGGTCCCATGTTCACGGCTGACTTGTTTGAAAAAACAAACGTACGCGATTTAGATCTGTATATAAATAGTTTCATTTACAATTTTACAACTAATGCTATAATTACTGCAAACAAAGTTAGTTGGAAAAAGCCAGATGTTGCAAACGCTCTCGTGGTTTATGATTGGTTTTACGACTGAAACTTCTCTTTCGGGTACTTGTATCTTATGTCGAGGTTTTCCTGTACATATTAAATATTTCTTTAAACATATGTACGTCACCCAAATTATACGTAACTGGACAATCTCTCGTTTGAACTGTAGGCACATATAAGTATACCTTTTATTAGGTTTTTTTGAGTGTTCGTCTGTACTGCATCCATCTTATTACGTCTATGACATTTTCACGATATTGAGATATTATCGCATTCTCAGTGTCTATAAAGATATCACTAAAATCGCTATTTTCTAGCAATAGTCTACTCTTGCTATTAACAGAGATGGTAGGCCGAAAGATTTTCAAATTTTAATTAGCATAAGGTGAAGACTACTTCAAGCTGTCAAGCTAGCAGCACAACTTTATTCTACTTACGTCACAAGAGCAGTCCAATGTGTCAAACATGATGTGCTATTGAAAACAATAAACGATCATGACTTTTTTTATTTAGGTTTAATTTGTTTAGGTTCAAATAAATGAAAGGAATGAAACGCATCATTGTGTTATTTCAGTTCTATATTTATAAGTTTTTTAGTAGCAGTGAAGCTTCTTGTGA